AATAAACACAAGTGTTGTTCTTCCGAGCACTTGTGAATTCATTTCTTTCTTTACAAGTACAGTCTTTCATGGAAGACATAGGGAGACCTGTGCCAATGCATCCAGGGGCTTGTGTTTCTCCCAAATCGGAGTTACAGACACCAGAGGGTCAGGCAGGTGTCCCCAGGCTTTCCTACAGTTCCCCCATTGGTGCTGTCACATGAAAGCAGAAGGCTTCCTCATCCCTTAGTGTAGGGAGATTTAATTGACCCGTAGCGTTTAATTTGTCAATGCCCCAGAAAAGCCAAGATGCTTGGGCAAGCCACCCCATCAGTGTCCAATTCGGGGGACACTGCACTGAGCCATCCTGCTGGATCAGAGGGCAGCTCAATTGACTCAGTCAGGGAAACGCCATCAGCCTCAGGAAGACCCCGCAGCAGGTCTTCCCCCTTTATTGGAGTGTGTTCCCTACTGAATTTAGTTCCCACAGTTACCAGCTGATGGTAACTGCCAGCACCTGGCAAGAATTTACTCTGACAGTTTCAGAATACCACTCCCAGAAGCCCAGGGCCCCTGAGGGAGCATCCCCCACTGCTTGTGGGAGGCTGGCAACCACTATCCAGCCCTGTAGTTTTCAGCCGCTGCTTAGGCCTTATGGCTACAGCTTAACTCGACACCCTGTGTCCGCTCAACCCCCGTGGCTCCTGCCACAACTTCAGAGATCTTTCTTTGCCTCCTGGGTGTGCTCACCTCTGTTGTTCCGGCTCGCCACTCCAATGTTCCTGCTGCAGCACATTTCAGCACCCATAGTGGCACTGGGACAGGCTGCTCCCCGTGAGTTTTGCAGATGCAGCCATCTCCCCTCTCCTCCAGCGTCTGGGCCGCCATTGCCTCATGAGGGAGAGGAGCTCGCCCCACAGCGCCCCCTGCTGGAGCGGGGCAATCATCGCACCCGCCCTGCCCGGCCGGGAGCCAGCAGCGCCCCTGCTGGCTGTGCCCAGAACTGCACCACAGGGGAAAGCACCTGCGGCCGGGAGAGGCTGGGACCGGCTCTCTGCTTCTCTTTGCTGCTGCTGTTTGTTTGTTTGGGTTGTCATACACGTATCTATTAGTAAAGGACTGTTATTCCTTTTCCTATATCTTTGTCTGAAAGCCCTCTATAATAATTCATACAATTATATAATTATATTTATATTTATATAAGAAAAGTTATAAAAATTTGGAGGGAAGGGCATCATATTTTTCCATTCCAAGGTAGGTTCTCACGTCCCATGGCAGACAGCTGTCTTTCAAAGCAAGACACTGCTCCAGGCCATTGACAGGAAAAAGAAAGGCAGAACTGAGCTTTTGAAGCAACAAAATGCCAGCATTTGTGGCTTGTGGGTGGCTGTGAGCACAGGTGTCTCTCTGTGGCCACTCAAATGGAAAGGGGCTGTTTAACAGCCTGGGAGAGCTCAGGGAGGAGCAGGGTGAGGTCTCCCTGCTCTGGGAGGATTTGCCAGCCAGGGCAGGGGACATGAGAGGCACCTGTGTGTGCCCAGCCCTGGTACAGGAGGGGTTTAGAGCTTGTTCTCTTTTTCACTGCAATCCTTGGCATGAAAGGGCCCTCACCATTCAACCTGAGACCTTGGCTCTCACAGACAGATCATTTTAGACATTTGATAACCAGCTCCAGTTGAACAAGTGGGCAGGAAACTTCTGCCATTAGATATTTACATTTAAGTTCATATTTGTGTTCTTCTCTTTGTTTCATAGCATAGAGGAAGATTTTGGTAAGAGCAAAGATCCTTTTAATTTCAGATCCAACAATGGCCAGGAGCAGATGCAGGAAGAACAAGACCCTTCACTCTTTGATCCTCACTCCCAAGGTTTCAGTGCCTCTACACAACAAAATACAATCACTTTACCTGCTTTCACCTCTTACCTAAAACACCATGAAGACTTTCTAAGGTACTAAATGATCCCCAGGCACCAATTCTAAGAGACCAGAGGGCATTCCTCCTGCCTCTGAGCACTGCAACAGAGAGGAAAAAGGGGACAGCTTTCAGCAAGTCAGAAGAATTATCATAAGTGCTTTGAAATAACAAAAAAAGTACTGATAGTTTTCCTGCTTTCTATTCACTTTAACTCCATCAGACTTTTCAGAGGTGTCATGTAGTCCCCAAGTTCTCATTTACAACTCAAGATTTCAGATACTATTTTAGATTTTTCCTTGAAAGCCATATGGTGTTTATTCATGTGGTGTGTTGGATCTCAAACCACTGAAGAAGTCATGTGACTGCCTGTATAATCCAAAATTCTGTGTAGTGGAACTGAGGCAGTTTTTGCTATGAAATACCTCACTGTGTATGGGGGGCTGGGGGAGCCACAATGATATAAAGAGCATAAGGACCAGTATAAAAACCCAAAGAAGGAATAGGCAAAGGGGTTTTTTATGATGGTCTCTGTGATCCTAAAGTATCAGGTGTATCCCTCAGGAATTGTTGCTTTGCTTTCAGAGGTCTGCATACTTTTAAAGTACTTCAAGAACATCCCATGTTATTTTACATCCCTAAAACCTCCTGCTCTCCTTCCAGAAAGATGTGGGACTGCCTTGGGTGCTGCGAAATATCTCTCCATGTCTGTAGGATACGTTTCATGGGAATAAATGTGTATCTGGGAACAATCTCTCTGCACTTCCAGTTCCAAAAGGAACAAAGGAATGCAAATTTAGCATTGTGGAGGAAGACCTTTTCTTTCCATGCTGTTCAATGATTTTCTTTTAATAACTAAAGACAGGATATTTTCAGAGCTGCACAGGGACTCTGAAATTAATTTACAGCTCATCCTGTGACGTATAAGATGAATGCCAAGGAAAAGTACAACTTTTTGTTCAAATAAATTTTCCAAACATAAAACACAAATCCCTTCCCAGAAGCAAGCAGGAGTAGGAATTCACGGCTGTACTGTTCAGTGATGCAAACTAGTGGGAGTCAGGGTGAGCCTTCTGGGGTCAGATAAAACAAATCTTCTGCTCTCTCAACTACAACTGCACTGGGTACATTATTGCTTGCTGAAGATCCTGCCCAGGGAGCTATTGCAGAGAAGCAGCCTGTTTGTATTCTGGCTGTTTGGAAAGCCTGGAGAGGAGACCACATGAAAAGCCTTTCAAGGTTTTCTCAGAGAACACAGAATGCACAGCACTGACAGGATCTGGCCAAGCCTGGTACAACAGCTGGGAAGGAAATGCTGGATTTCTGGTGGGTGTCTGGTTGCTGTAGGTGTGGACAAGTGTGCAGTTCTGCTTGCTTGATCAGGAGAGCTGATCCATGAAGTTGTGGCAGAGCACGATTTGCCTTTCACCTCAGTTCCTCAGCAGTGGCATAGGGCTGATGGGGAAAGGGGGTAAAATCAGAGCTCCTTGATCAACCTTCCATCAGTACCCTGGGATGAACAAAATGTCAGAGCTGGGGGATCTCTTGACCCACCCGCAAGGCAGACACCATGCAAAATGAAAACCCTAATGCACCACTCTTTACCCAAGAGACACCCCAGGACGCTCCTTTCTAAGCAGACACGCCAGTCTTTGTGGATGTGTCTGACAGCCTTTCATAAGCTGAGCCCTTTCTGGCAAGGAAGGCTGCTGGAGGATTCCTTTCAGTTCCATGTTTTTAGTCTAATTCAATTTACTAATTTGAGATAAGTCCTGACATTGGTTTTTGAGATCATCCTTGATTCTCAACATATGACCTGACCTAGAGGCAAAGGTATTTTGTTTAAAAAACAAATCATAGAATCACAATGATTTGTTTGCTACTAAATTCTTTTGACACCAATTGTTTTCTTGTAAGACAGCTAGCTGTGAGTTTAAGCAATCTTCTTTCGTTACTTGCATGTCCTATGGTGAGGAATAATGACATAAAAGACAGTAAATGGGATTGTTACAAATTAGTCCCAGCTGGAGTATATGTGAGTTGTGAGTCACTCAGCACTCAGGAAAGCCTGCAGTAAAATCAATCATGCCTAAACCATGCGGTTTCTAACATACAGTCCAAAAAATTCTATCCTAGAAATAGTTGAGAAATCAACTACATCACAAGATGGTGGCACCACTGTGGAAACAACACCTTTGCCAACGATTTTCCATACCAAGAACATCAGCTCTGAGGAACAGAACACAACAGAGCTGATCTGCACGGACAAGTTCGACAGCAGCATGGTAACAATCCTGCCAGGTACAGTTTGGTGGCACAGCTGCAACACATTTCTAGGGACAATATCCTGTGGGGCTTGGTGCTCGCCTGCCTGTCAGCATTGCCCTGGACAGCCAGCAGAAATCAGAAAGATATTTGGTATTTCAACAGGGAGAGCTGAAAGATGTTTCAAAGCATCTGAAAGACATGGTTTCAACTGCTTAATAACTTTGGGAGAAAGAGGCTAGACACAGTCTATTTCATTAAAACGTGAATTTTCTTATGACTACATATTTCACCCTGCAGCAGCAAATCTACTGCAGGACAACCTGGAACAGCCTATCCAACACCAACAAAAAGTTCAAAGTGGGGCATATTATGAGGGTTTTTTACTAAATCACATTTTATATTTTGTGGGATTGGTTTTGTACTCCTGAAGGTCATTCAAGGTGCTGAAGGGCTAGTAGGAGTGTTTGCAACAGCAGAGACCCCTCAGCTGGGTAACAAGGTGAGTTACCCAAACAGGATAGTGAAGTTACATTGCTCTCTGGGGGATAAAGGCATGGAAATGTATTTTCTCCAGGGCAGAGGACTCAGGACACAACACATTCAGCAGACACAAGCTGCTGTTCCAAGCTTGCTCCTGCAGTTACACACAAGCCCCAGGAAGCAAAAAGCAACAGGGACAGACCCTGGGCTCCCCTGTTGCTGCCATGTTCTCTCTCGCCTGTTCCTTTGCTGCTCTTCCTTTCCCTGAAACTGCCACCTGTGCATTTCCCACTTTCTGCCAAGATCACAACACCAAAACCTAGACCATGATGTCTCCCCTCTTTTCTGGTCACTGAGCAGACCCTGAAGAGCAGAGAGTGAACATGCTGTCCATGGCTGTGCTGGGTTTGAGAGTCCTGCTGGCAAAAGGCATCGCCTTCAATATCCTCATGAGTATCAAATTGGTTCTTTTCTGAGGTAAGGGAGCTCACAGCTTGGTGTCTGGAAAGCCTGGAAGCATATGCCAGAAGTGACTGCCTTTCCATGTGTCTGTCCCTAGCCCCACAAGGAATCATGCCTATTCATCTGCTCCTGATTCCATTCCACAGCCCTTGCAAGTATTCTGGGGAAAAGACAACAACAATAACCGAACCACACACAAGAAAATCAGTTTTTCCCCTAAAAACCAATTGAGACAAGTCTATCATGACTCCCAAAGGACAAAGGAAAAAGCATTTTTCTGTATTCAGATCTCAGTTCTTGAGGCCATTCCACAGCCCTTGCAAGTATTCTGGGGAAAAGACAACAACAATAACCGAACCACATACAAGAAAATAATTTATCCCCCTAAAAATTCAATTAAGACAAGCAGTTTGTGCCTCCCAAAGGACAAAGCAAAGAGTGTATTTCTGTATTCAAAGTTCAGTTCTTGAGGATGGTTCCCAAATTTTGTTTGCCAGAGAAACTCTGGTATTACCTGAACAGTCTAAGAAATATTGACTATATTGAGTGGCAGAATACAAAGCCGGGAGAAAAATCCAGACAAATAAGGATTCAAAGGCAAGGATCCCAATATAAAAACATTTGGCAGTAAAGAGAGGAAGGCGAAGAGTTTTAAAATTAAAGTATCAGAAGAGGAACAAAATATTGTCCAGCCTAACTTTTGTGATTGCATCTGTCATCATCTGACAGTTATCAAGCAGTGGTTCACAGGTCCAGTTTTATTAAATGTAATTTAAACCTCCCTTTGCTCTTCCAGACATGGGGAATGAACCTGAAGAAGAGCAGGAAAGAATGTGAACCAGCAGCACAAGGGGGTGGAACAAGCAGGGGCAGAGCTGCTGGCAGACACCACCCAGGACACAAGGCAGCACCTTCCCCTGAAGACACTGAACACTCTTCACTCCTGCCTGCCCAGCTGATTTACACTGAAGAGTTTCAAGTGCTTTTGCTGCTTCCTCTCCTCTGACAACTGAGGAGAGTGGATTTCTCCTCATCCTCCTGCTAAGCAGATCTCCCCACTCTTCTGGCATTTGCACACAAGTGTCCAACCTGCTTCAACAGCTTTGGAAACTCCAGGGCTCACTCTAGATAGATGGCCTTTTAAAAGCACCTTTCCCAAGCATGCTGTGTTTCTGCCTGTGGAACTGGAGAAGCACTGCTGGGGCAATTCAAGCCCAGTAGCTGCCATTTGTAGCTTTGGGTTTTAGATAGATTCAATAAATGTGTATTGCAGCTAAGAAGAGCTCTGTAAAATCTGGAGTGATTTAATTTATCCAGACAATGTCAATTTCTTTATTAAGCCTTTATTTATTCTGCTGAAAACTCTGGCAGTGAGTGTTTCATTGACCTAAAGCCCTCAGTTCATGACAGGGTCCCAGATTGTCCCCACTAAGCAGTGGCTTTTCACTTTGCATTGGCAATGCAGAACATTCAGCTTAACAAAACAGGAGAACAGAAGTGTTTTCAGAAGAAATCTCACAACTTGGAGCTTTAGTGCAGTCCATTGTAAGACTGTCTTAGTGCAGTTGATTCCACATAAGGGGACGGTATCTGCAGCTCTGCCACCTGATACAAGGTGTGGAAAGTTTGTAGGGAAACTGCGCCCCACATTATATAGCCTCTGTTAAAAGAAGCTCATTTGCATGTGGAATTATCCTGACATCTGAAAATACAATATTGTCCTGTAAAGGATCCCATTATATCAAAATAACAGAGGATGATTATAAGCAGAACTTTTTGTTACAATACATTGTGACAGTACTAAAAATCTCCTAGAGATTTATTTGTTTCTATGTTTGATTGTGGTCACAGAGCCTTTGAAATTCTCAAGGGGTTGAGCCACTCTCACTGGAGATATTCAAAAACCACCTGGTCATGGTCCTTGGCAAACAGCTCCAGACAGTCCTGCTAGAGCAGGGGACACCCAGTCACCTCCAGAGGTCCCTTCCAACCTCAATCCTGCATTTCTGTGACCCCTTTCTCATAATGTGGGAAGCGACAAGAAGTTCAAAATTTCTTTATATACCTTTAGACAGGGGTCTTGTTCATCTTTGCCCAGGGGGAAAGGAACTGAAGTCTTTTGCTAAGGACTGTTTCTGTGCTGCAGGCATGAGGAGCTTAAGATCTCAAGAGACTGGGTGTAGCACAGAAGATACACAAAAGATAATGACCATAAACCAACATCAACTCCAAACTTCATGGTCAGAGACACCTGGTCTGGGAAATATGGATAAGAGAATGAAGAATGAGAACCTCATTGAAGGCCAAGGGATCAGTAGCCAGTAGGAAACCAAATACTAAAAACTTGTCACAAACAGGAGTGCTTGAGGTCGCTTAAAAAATCTCCATCAAGGTTATGAGCAAAAGTCAGATTTAATATTAAGCAACAAAGCAGGACAAGTTACTACTGCTTACAGGACAGCTAGGGCACAAGGGAAAACAAGCAACAGCAAAACCAAACAAAATCCATGCAATCAAAACACAAATGTACTGAGAACTCCCTAGGGTTGTGTGTGTGGGGGGCTGTGTGCATGTGAAAAGACATTGCATACAAATATAAAAAGGAACCATACAAATATAAAAAGGAACATGGCCTAAAAGCTTAATAGCAGCACTCAAACTTAACAGTTCTTTAGCTTAATTTATACCTTAAATCTAGTAATTTAACATAGGGAAAGCATTTAATTTATCCCAACTTAACTTGAACTTTATTTATAGCTTAACCTCAACATTCAAAACACTTGACAACATTTAACCTAACTTATAACTTCAGTTCAAACTTAGCAACTTAACAAAAGGATATTTAGCAAAACTTACCTTATGTTTAACTTAAAGCAAAAGACCAACACTTAGCAGCACTTAAGTAAACTTCTAAATTAACCTTACTTGCAGGCCTGAATGCTTAGATATCTGAGGTACTTAAATACCTAAAAAAGAAGTATTTCTCTCAGATTTGTTATAGCAAATGCACACAGAAACAGTGCAGCAAGGTAACTGTGACAATTCCCCTCAGAGGTCCGTGAAATACTCACTTTTGCATCACTGATGGGTGAAGGACTGGGGCTGGAGGAGTGAGGGTGTGGGCCCAGGACACATCTTGGTTTGCTGATCCTCCAGGTGTAGCAAACCCGAGGGTCTGCTGCTCTGAGAGACCCCCTCAGAGGGAGATTGCTGCTCACAGCCCACTGCCCAGGAGAACTTAACCAGCCCCATTTTGGAACAGTGCTTATAGGTCCCAAGAGTGGGCTTTAGTTATAGCCATGTTTCAGCCTGGCCACAGTTTGGCTCAGCAGTTTCTTTGAAAGTATGAAAATAGGAATGTTGTGCCATTCAGGCCAGAGAAACATTTTCCAAGGCTGGTCATAAGGAAAACAGCAGCTTGTTAGCAATTCCTGGGAGCAGACAGTATTTCTGACAATCTTGGAAAGAGCTGAGTCCAGGTGCTGTTTGCAAGGCCAAGGCCTAACAAGCATTTCTCAGATAACACTGCAGCCTGGAAAGGAGTAGGGGGAAGAATGCACCACCACAACTGTGTTAACATTGAACCAATGGATTTCCAGATGGGTTTTGACTGTATACGTGTGTGAAAAATCTAGTAAAAACCTTATGCAGGAAGGATTTTCTCTGCACACCCAGGCAATGTGTGGATGAAATGGTTTCCAGAATAAAGTAATGCCTTAATTCTCTAACAGAAAATTGCTGTTGGAGAGTTTTCAGTTTTTCCACAGTTTTGGTGACAAGAGCACCCACAATGGGAACTTCAATAAAACTTATAAAGTAATTTCAGGAAAATTTTCACCTCCAGCACATCATATGTATTTTTACTTCCCCTTGGTGAATCTTTGTTGGGGGTTAGGATTTTTCATTTTGTTTCTTTCTCTCATAGAATTTGTTTTTAAGAGACAAGAAGGACCAGTACTTAAGAGAGACAAAAGATATAGCCAAGGGGGAAGGGAAGGAGTGCAGCTGGCTGCATTATCTATCTGAGGGGCATTCTCTTGGGAAGGGCAGAAATACCTCAAGATTTTGGCCTGGGGGCAAGGGCACAGCTCCTAGCTCTCTCTTGCTGCTGGCATTGTGGGATAATCTGTTTCTTGCTGTGAGAATTCACTGCCACTGCTGGAGCCCAGCCCTGTACTGCTTCTTCCTTACTGTGTGTGAGCCTTTGCTTGTAAGAAGAGCTGTTGGACTGGGACCTTATGAACACCCTCCCTCACTCAAAAGGACCCTCACCATCCACTGAGGGTGAGGAGCAGGGGGGAGTATGGAACTCCAAGCCCCCGAGCCACCTCTGAGGCACTTTCCCTGGCTGACTTCTCTGACATAGTTCGGGATTCTTCCCTGCACTGTCATAGCCCCGGTGAGCCAGGACACCCCACAGCTCCTGCTACAGTGTGGAGTTCCTGATACACTTCATTTCTGCCCTGCCCAGGGATCTGCTTGCCTTCCATCTGCTGCGCCGAGCTTCCTGCTACAGCTCCTTTTGCCATCCAAAGGGGGACTGGAACTGGCTGCTGCAGCACATTTCAGCACCCGTAGTGGCACTGAGACCATTCCTCATAATGTTCTTTTAAATTTCAGTGGCTGCTCGCCGCGAGTTTTGCAAAGGGAGCCCCCTCCCCTCTGCTCCACCGCCGGAGCCGCCATCGCCTCATGAGGGAGACGAGCTCGCGCCACAGCGCCCCCTGCTGTTTGTTTGGGTTGTCATACACGCATTTGTTAGTGAAGGACTGTTGTTCCTTTTCCTACATTTTTTGCTTGAAAGCCCCTTAATTTCAAAGTTATAATGATTTATTTATAATTTATATTTTATTAATATCTTAATATATATATATATTTACTTAATATATAATTTTAAGGGGGCCATATTTTTCCATTCCAAGGGACGTTCCTACCCTTCTTAGCTGACACCTGTCTTTCAAACCATGACAGTCACACACAGAGTGTGGTATCTGACATCTGTCCTGCTGAACAAGGCAAAATGGTGAGAGCTCTCTCCTGTGGCAGAGAACATTAAAAGCATCCTGAAAGAATAAACCTCTTTCCAAGAGGCCACATGGGAAAGCATCATGAACAACAAGGAAATCTGAATAGCAGGGAGAATATTTTGCTCACTAGCAAACTGAAGACTGTATTTAGAGTGAACACTAAACCATCCATGTGTTATCAATATTATTCTTATACCACATCCAAAACACAGCACTGTTCTAGCTAGTAAGGAGAATATTTTTCTCTCCAATTTTTATTTATATCCAGGGAGAGGAGTGTTTATGCTTCCAGTTTATACCTTTCTTGCTTTGCAGAAAGGTATAGGAATGACCCATGCAAGAGTCAATATCTGAAAAGTTTCTGTGTCTAAGACACAAATGATGGAGCCAGAAAGGCTCCGGCAGCACCAGGCAGGACTCCCAGGCTCATTCCTTCAGTGGATCCTTTCCCAGAGCCAGAGGTACGTGACAGAAGGAGAAGGAGAAGTTCAGGACAGTATCAACATCTCTGCATTACCTGATCCCTTTGCACTCAGCCTCCTGAATTTGCACATATCAAAGCCTCAGCCTTGCCCTTGCCGGAATCCTTGGGGTTTTTCCCATGTGGTGCCCCACAGTATTCTAGGGCCAGAATTCCTCACCCTCAGGCCCTTGACCACCTCTGGGCACAGCACAGCAACCTGAGCTGGGCTGTATTTAATATTTTCCTGCCACAGGGAAGGGTGCTGCCAGCTGCAGTTCAGATGGCTCTGGAGGGGACGTGGCTGATGCTGCTCCTTTTTTCCTGCTGCAAGGCCAGGCTGGGTGTCAGAGCACTGCCTGTGCCCATCACTGCAGCCCCAGCTGCAAGGCTGGTGTTTGGGAGGAAGCCTGGGCATATATTTAAAAGGATACTCAAAGCAAACCTCCAAACTTCTATGAGTTTTAATTTGCTAAAGTAATTTAAATACATTAAATGAGGTTTAAAAATATTCCCCCCTTTTTTCTTTAAAATGGATTTCCTCATAATATTCTTTTTGATTTCAACATTTTATTTGAGAGGGTAAACCAGACTGTGTTTCACTTTCTCTTCACATAAACCTTTAGACATATTTTGATAAGATGATAAATGTATTCTTTTGTTTTTACTTAAAAGGTATCAAACTCCATGATAAATGATAAATGGACAAAACAGCTTTTTGTACCACTGAAACCTTTTGCTGTCTTATACAGCATTAAAAGTACAATCTAATATTCATATTCCTGCATTTGCTGGGTATATTCTGACCAGCGTGTTCAGTTCCCCCATATACTAGAAAGTTCCTGGT